AAATTCCCCATACCTTGACTCAATTTATCTCGGTTACTGTGAAAAATATCCAAAATTGGTTACCTAGAAAAATGTTACATATAGTGTGCTAAATATTGTTTTAGTCGGCTGCTTTTTGATATCTTTAATGGGAACCGAGATAAATTGCGTCAAAGTTGTCAGCCCTTGACAACTAACTTGCCTCCACGATCCGATTTATAACTCTTCAAATATGATTTTTCTGTTTGAAACAAATATAAAAATGTTGAACTCGGCAAAAGATCTTCAGAATTATACCTATTATAGCTTGGTTATTTTCGCTAAGTTCTATGCCTCTCTTTTTGATGAAGGCGTCGTAAATGCTTCAATTCAACCCCTTCCCCTATATGATTACTTTGAGCTCAATTATCTCGGTTCCTATGAGAGATGTCAAAATTTTGTTAACAGATAAAATATTAGTGATAACATGATTAATAATTTATCAATTAACAGATTTTCGATATCTCTCATAGGAACCGAGATAATTGAGCTCAGAGTAATCATATACGGTAGGCTTCTATGAAAGCATTTATATGGCCCACGGAAGAAGTGTTTGAAACTTCAAACTTGTCCATGTTTATATTCATTTTGACCCTCATGTTAAACCGAACTCATTCATCTCATTTTCAGCAACGCAGCATCAAGTCTGCCGACTCTAACAGGGTAAAACGAAAATATTCCAAGTCAACATCCGTCACGAATCTCATCGAGGTACCATCAGTGCCTAAACAGGAATTGGAGGCGCTCAAAGAATCGATAGCTAATGGACAGAAACTTGTTGACGAGGATGAAGATTTTGATATTCTAGATGTGGACGATGAATTTGAGGTGGGACAAATTTTCTTGTAAAAATTAGGTCACCAATTTACGTTTTCTAGAACCTCCCACCGATTTCGGATCTTTCAAGCTCCTCTACAGAATCGGATCATCATGAGACTGACGATGAAAAATCAGATGATGATAGTGACGAAGTGGCAAAAAAAGTTACTGTACAAGAGGTCAAAGCAGCAACAGCAGCACCTCAAAAACCCAAAAAAGAGGTTCGAATAGCGAAGAGTACGAATGGAAAGAAGGTTTGTG